GCGGCAGAAGGCTGTAGTTGTCTTGTTAAGGCGTAGCCAATCGATAACAGCCGACAGGTCTTCGGTTTGCTTCTTCTCTATATGCGGCCAGGCGTCGTCGGTCTGCGAGAGAGGAACATGACGAATGCGGTGCGTAGGTATGTGCAGGTCCGCGTCATGCATGCACGCACGCTAGCGGCCGCCTGTCTGTCTGTCTGTCGATCACTTGTACCTGTGTCGGCCGCCTTCAGCAGCCAATGGGAACACGGGAACAGGCGTCTAGCCGAGCGGACGCTGCTGAGGCACGCACTGACTGGTTGGGCTGGTAGAGCGTGCAGCCGTAAGTGCGCGCGAACGTGCGCGCCACCTGCTAGGCGTGTGTCTATGCGTGTTGCTATAGTGGGTCGGTCTACGGTCTAAGGTAGGCTGGCCGGCCTCTGTAGACGCCGCGCGGGGTTGACGTCACGCGCTGGTTGACCTGGAGCACTGAGACCGCAGCATTCCAATACGCGGGTGTGTGGACAACCGCCTTTGCTGTTGGGATGTGTTAGCTATCCAGGGGTACTGTTCTCAAGATCCGGAGGGAGAGAGATGGTCGACTAGGACGTTTATGAACTTAACAGTAGGTCCCCACTGACCTTTTTAGATCCGCTGTGCTGCAGTCCCTGCATTCAGCCGTTTGGTGACCGCAGATCAACTGGTAAAGCGTTGGACTTAAAAACGCTCGATGTCTAAAGAACGCAGGATCGGGGGTCGGCGGTTGCGTGCCTCAAGGTTGGGTATGGCTAGCCGACGACGACCAATGGAGTCAAAAATGGCCATTTAAGGCCCCCTCGTCTTTTCCGACAGGCCTCGAGCCCAACCAGCAGCCGCACAGCAGCGCATGATATAGGCAGAATAGCATTGCCGACAAAGACAAGGGGGACTGAATGGCCATTTCTGGCTCATTAGCCGTCGTCAGCCAGAGGCGTTGGGCTTCTAACTAACAGGTCGCAGGATCTAGCCCCAATTGTTCTACACCTCGGGCTTGGGTATGACTGGCCGACGACGGCTAACGAGCCAGAAACGGCCATTCCAGTGTACCTTGTCTTTGTCGGTGATTAGCGTACGTGCGTTCAGCATGGTTATAATACGAGGCAGGCGGAATGGCTAAACAAATCAAGGCCTGCAGGGAACGCCAGCGAACGACTGATGATGGAAACGAGGGAGGTTCCGAAAACGTCAGTATAACTACAACTTGGTTCATGAGGTCGCTTCCTCTACGTCTTCCTCGGGGGATGATGAACGCGTTACTACATCTGGACCATCATCAGAGTGGTGATGATGGAAACGAGGAAGTTTCCGAAACGTCAGCACCAATACACTGTGGTCCATGCAATCGCCCCTTTTTCTTCTTCGTCTTCTTTTGGGGATGATGAACGGGATATATATATATATATATATATATATATATATATATATTAAAGGTATTATACCGTACTCCCGACATAGATACTTGCTAAAAGCCCAGACACGTGTTTCGCCGATATTCTGCCGCTGCGTGACACAGCTGCGAGGGGTTCGGCTCTTCAGTGGGAGCCCCCGGCGTTCTCTAGCGTTTTCTGGAATATGAACTCCAGAGAATAATCAAGTGAATAATTTCAGAAATTAATCAGTGCAGGACTTGGAGTTAAATCTCCGGGACATGACTTTTTAGTACTTGTTTGTAGAATGGGCATTACGTGGTTATTCCACAGTAGTTGATTGTCTTCGACTCAAATGTTCATTGAAATTTCGGTTCTGACCCTAAAAAGTCATGTCCCGGAGATTTAACTCCAAGTCCTGCACTGATTAATTTCTGAAATTATTCACTTGATATATATATATATATATATATATTCACTCATGAATGGGCGCACACCGATCCATTGTCTTCCCGAAGCAAACAAGCTTCGTATGTGAGGCAAAGGTCACGAACAGTCAACCACCTACCAGGCCGAAGTCGGCCAAGCTATGAGAGCAGAGAGGAGACGACAGAGTCTGGGGGGTAGATTGATACAGCACTGTTTCGGGTTTTTTTACCTTCATTCAGCCAATCATAACCCTGACCACCAGCTGGTACCGGAAACACAAACATGCGCACAGACGCACCTGGCGCAGCTGGTCCACCACTGGGGTCTACCAGATGGGTTATAAGCACTTCATCGAACCGAAGTTCATCAGTGCCTCGCCGCCTGCTATTCTCTGTCGCTGCAGATCGGGTATTTATTCACTCAGGAATGGGCGCTCACCGATCCATTGGTTTCCCGAAGCAAACAAGTTTCGTATGGGGGTCACGAACAGGCAACCACCTACCAGGCCGAAGTCGGCCAAGCTATGATAGCAGAGGGGAGATGACAGGGAATGCGGGTAGATTTATACACCCCCTATGAGGTCCGAGCCGCGTCCACTTCGAGATTTCAGTGCACGTAACGAGGACCCGGTAGTGTGTGGCACGCGTAGACGGGCTGTTTAGTCTTGCCAGTCACTGCGTGCGGGCAAGCCTCCGGTCATCATGACACTGGCCTGCCGCCAAAGCAAATATGTGTTTGATCGTACGCACCGCCTGGCAAGATCTTTCATTGGTACACGCTTGGTCTTTCGAAAGGCCCTGGAACCCGAGCGGAAAGAAGCCGTTTGGTTTCGGTCGCCAACAGAACTCTACGGGACTGTCGGCAGGGGAGCGATGTTGCTGGCACCGCGACAATGATCATGGATGGCCTAGGTGTCTCTGACGAAAGCAAGAGTTCGAAACCCTACTCAGGTAAATGAAAGTGGAGGCAGTTCATAGAAAAGGGGTCATATTTTTTCGTGAGTTCTTCTGCAACCCTCTCAGCGAATGCTTTCGAAGGCCATTCCTTTTAGATGCAAAAGATTGGGGAACGGCCTCAAGGGAGAGAAGGCGTGAGCGTGCTCTCGAAGTTCATCGTCATCTCGTGATCATCAGACTTAGCGATCGGTATGCACCTATGCCAGTCGACAAAGAATAGAGGGTTCCGCTCGAAAGTCAATTCGATGACCTGAACTTCCGACCCGACTGGCCTCAAGCATAATCACTAACATATGGACTCCCCTTTCTTCCAGTTGTCAATATTTTCAGCCTTTACTTTCTTGCTGCTGTTTCTCGTACTCCCACATCATTCTACTACTACTCATCATCATCATCATCATCATCATCATCATCATCATCATCATCATCATCATCATCATCATCATCATCATCATCATCATCATCATCATCATCATCATCATCATCATCATCATCGTCGTCGTCGTCGTCGTCATCATCATCAGCATCAGCATCATCAGTCACGTTCCCCATTCTTCTATTCTTCCCCTTCTTATTCTTCATCATCATCGTCTCCCTCTTTTTCGTCGTCGCCGTTTCCTTCGCTTATTCTTCCTCTCATTCTTCTACTTTCTCGCCTCCTTCTCTGCCATAGATAATGTTTTTGATCATTCTGGAATCCTGGTTAACCTCCGTTCCGATAACATTAAGCAAAGTGTGTCGGGGAGCCTATTACTTCCTGTCGAAAACGCAAGCAGGCCGGATGCAGTTTTTTTATCGACCCGTCCTCCGCCGGTCATTGAACGAAATCCGCCTGTGTTTTTTGTTTTACTTTCCCATTCCCAATCAGCCCCGAATCGGGCCGCACGAATTAGCACAGGAGGAACCAGCATACCTGAAAATGCGTTTCCTACACGACACCTGTGTGTTTGTCTGGCACAGGCGAGGAGGGCCACCACCACCTGCAAAGGACACAGCAGTGACTTGCGTGTGGAGTTGTTTACATGTGTGGCACCTACCTCCTCCCACCCCCAGCATTCACCGTGTTTCGATACCACAACAAAGAACAAGCGGATCGGCGGTGGACGCAAGTAAAGTGGCCCTAAAGGTTAGTCAATGCGTCTACGCGTGCCACACACACGCTCTTCACTTGCTACACGCTAAACGGTTTTCGACGGGGGCGCCTAGGATCGCATTCACCGGGGGGTGTCGTAGAAATCACAGTGGGAAGGAGTAATCGTAGCCCTATTCTCTGGCCGAGCGTAAAACTTAATTATCTCATCAGCCGACAGCTTTCCAAGCCAGGATTCTTGGTGTGTTGTAGTAGTTTCGATCGCAGAACATTCCCTATGATGGGAAATTGGCTGAATCGTCATAAGTTAGGATAACACAGTACTAAATCCATTCTTTTCCCCTTTCAATGTACCAGCTGCCTGTCCGAGCCTGACGACTGGGATTGCAGCCAACGTTTTTGGGAACGTTAACGTATCAAGGTTGGAGTCTTGGCAAATAGAGCGGTCACCGGTGACAGTCTTTTTCTCCTTCAGAAGGGTGTTAAATGTTACGAGTCTTCTCAGTGGCTTGCATCTTCTTTTACGGCTCATGTTTTGTGGGGAATTTCATACACTTCGACAGTGGCCAACTCTGATTAGCCCGTCGACTAATTGGCGGATTCCCATGGTCGCT